TGATGCTGGACCAAATGAATAGACTGCTTGGGGGCAGACTGATCAAGAATAAATTTTTCTCAAAGGTTTATAGAGAGTCAGCAACAAAAAAAAAAAAGGATTCTCTGGCTGGCAAGAGAAGTGTGAAGAGGTTACATGTGTCCCAAGGAGGCCTTGGGGAAAGAAAGCACTCATCTGGCTGGAGGGGGCTGGACGGTACTGTAACATCTGGACAAAAACATCACTGAGCAGAGCCTTGAAAAGCACCATCCTGCAAAGAGGTCTGACAGCAAGGAGCTAGAGAGAGTGGGGAAAAACATGTTTCACAGCAGTTTCCAAGCTGGAAAATGATGATGAAACTGAAATAGAAAAAGTCTATTAAGTCATGACTTCAAAGCTTCCGAATTTTTTTTAAGGCCTTACTTTACAAAGGACTAATTTTAGGTGGTTAGAAGTTAAAAGTTTCACATTGGTTTGGCATGCTTTTTCCAATCAAGTGAAAATTATTCCAAATATTTAACATTTGTTAAACTAAACAATGTTTTCAGTGGTTTTGAAAAGAAATTATCACCAATTTTTACCAAAATTAAATCTTACTAAAATTGTGGTTACATACTGAGTACAAATGCTGCTTCCATCTATAGCTGGTCATCTCCAATGTCATCAGTGAAAATATACTGGGTGTTGAAGGAGTCCATTAGAGTATTAATTTGGATATTTATACTTACAGCTTATGATTATACAAAATACTGTAATCTGATTTAGCATGTTCTATAGGTGCCAGGAAAATAACTTACAACATTTACTACATTATGAAACTGAATTTAAACTAACCCACATATTATTACAAGCATATTAAATGCATACTTTGAAAGCTTGCCTAAATCCTAGCAGCATACATGTCTTGGGGTTTTTCAATATCCACAGGACAAATGATTTTATAACACACTCAACTCAATAAACCACCATCTTTTCCGTATCTTTTACATAATTACTTGGGACACAGAAGAATGTACAATTTCTGGACTTGTGTAACTGCAGAAGTCAGTGGTGTAACTCAGAACAACATTTGTATTTATCTAATTATGGGTACCAAGTCACAAAGCTATAACTATCTTTAGACATAATTCAGATGCAAGAGAAACATAATCCTCAAATGTGTATTATCTTTTATTTTTGTTCATCATGTCTTTCCCCTAAATCATTCCTAAATTCATTCCAGTAATCAGAGGGATTTTCTATTTTGAGGAAATATTATCCTCCAGATAAGGACCATGACTCAGAGAATCAATAAGCCACAAACAACAGCCAAAAAAACCCTCTGGCATCTTGACTACTTCCCAGATTGCAGTGTTATTAGAATACACATAAATGATGTGCAACAGAGCCAGTAACATCACACAGCAAACAGTTTCTTACACTCACTGAGAAATTAATTACCTTTGCAAATGCTAAAAAAAATTTAAGGGGTAATTCAGGTTAAGACATCCCAGCACAGGTGTCTACATATTCATGTTTACATGCTAGCTAGGTTTTGAAGAGACTATTTTATGCACTAGGGGCAGGATTTAGTTTCCTCAACATGGACTTCTGAAATTCTTTGAGATATCCTCCTATATCCCAGTTGGCTTCTAGCTACAGGTCTGGAAGAGCATGGCCCTCTCACAAGTCTGGTGTCTTATCAGAGAACCCCTCATGCATATCCTGGATACTCTAGCACACCTCAGATATCACTCAAATGCCATCTGTCTTTAGGAAACTAAATCAAAAGCCCGGGGGATCTTGTTAGTACAATCAACCAGTTGAACAGCAGTGTTTCACACCCTGAATCAGAGACATAAGGAGAAAGCCAATTAACCATCTAGAACACTTGTAACACTTAAAACTACCTAAGATATCTACATGGGGATAGCATATACAGCACAAGACCTATGGAAACCTGCTTCCCACTGCATATGGTACTGGATATGATGTGTCACATCAGAACACACTAAGCACCTATGCTGGACAACTGAATAGCTCCGTAAGTGCTCTAGGCATCTACTTCAAGTGATCTGAAGTGCTCCACCAACCTCACCCACAGTATTGCCTAGCCCTCCAGGCATCAAATCCACTGCTAAACATGTTTACCACAATTTAAGAAGCAGTTTATCCTGCCTGCTTTGTCTCTTCCCAGATGAGAGTGGGTTTCCCATAAGACCTATGTCATGTTTCTCATACTTGCATGGCTGTCTCACAAATCTCCAATGACAGAGACATTTATGTTTAGTCAAACAGAAGGAACCTCTAGTAGCTAGTTAGTTGACTCACTCTCTAGGCTATACTAAACATATAGACTAAATCTCAGATTATTCAAGGTTCAGATTATCAGATTATAGGGACAATTTAGACACCTAATGCATAAGAACGTAGCTCCCCATAAGCACCTGGACTTAGGTGTCTTAATGTCAAACTGAATCTGATCACAACTTTCCCAATAACTAGAGGATTATCCATGCACACTACATTAACAATATACAGTTATTATCATGAAGCTTTTATCTCTTTGTGAAGACTCTGCTGTTAGACTTTTCAGTTCAGATTTTTCCCTCATTTGAAATCTAAGTGAAGATAAAAAAAATACGTGAGGTGTTAAGTATGCACATTCTTCTGAACTTCACATTCTGAACCTGAATTGGCCATGTACAGGTGTCAGTGACTGACACCAAATTACCATATTCTTCAGAAGAAGTGGTATAGCTGTAAATGTCACACAGGTACAGACTAGTGCAGAGGGTGCCCCTTACCTCACTTTACAAATCCCTTCTGCATTCAGTGTAGGCACTGCAGCCATTAACGGCAAAAAGACAGAAAATATTTTTTTGTTAAAATTCTGTTCTTCAGTTATTTCATATTTACTAATGAAGTTTGATATTTAGTCAAGAACCACTACTCATTCTTAAAATTATTTTTTCACAATTTTTTAAAGATATTATTTTGTTAAAAAACTGATCACCAAGAGGGAAAACCCCTTCCTGGTGTACATCAAACACAGCAGAGGAGAGCCAATCATCCCACTGCACTCAGAATTGGTGCAGCCTCACCTTGTGAACTGTGTGCAGGTCTGGGCCCCACAGTTTACAAAGGATTTGAATGTCTTTGAATGTGTCCAGAGGAGATCAACAGAGCTGGTGAACGGGCTGGAAGGTACGTCCTAAAAGGAATGGCTGAGGACTTTGGGTTTGCCTAGTTTGGAGTAAGGGAGGTCGAGGAGTAACCTCATTGCTTTACAGCTCCTGAGGAGTGGAGAGGGATGTGCTGAGCCCTTCTCCCTGTTATCTAGTGACAGGAGGCTTGGTAATAATCCAAAACTGTGCCAGGGGAGGTTTAGACTGGACATCAGGAAGCATTTCTTTACTGAGAGGGTGGTCAGACACTAGAACAGGTTTCCTAGAGAGGTGGTTGGTGCCCCAAGCCTGTCAGTATTTAAGAGGCATTTGGAGAGTATCCTTAGCAACACGCTTTAACTTTTAATTGGCCCTAAATTGGTCAGGCATTGTATGTCCCTTCCAACTGAAATAGTCTATTCTGATAGATCTGTAAGATCTGAATTGTACTTGCAGACATTTAATTGGCAATTATTGTGGTCAAGATATAGTGAAGTAAGTGTGTTTCAGGTACAATCTAAATGTTTTAACGTATTTCATATGGAGCTGGATACCTTACAGGAGAAAATCCTTGTTACACCAGCTCACCTAAACTAGTTCTTTTATATAAATGTTTTTCCTTTTCATTAATTTTTACAACTGTAACTAAGTAGTAGCTCTAACTTTCACTACTTTTTATAAGCGCCCAAAATTGTGCCAGATGTCCTGTGCTTCAGCTAGTGAGAGAAACACAATTTCAATTCTGCAAAAACCTATTAATCAGGTTCAGAAAGATAAAATAAACACCAAGTAAAGGCTTAAATTCCACTAACAGCTTCTATTAGGAAGCTGCTAATAATCTTTATTTCTTAAAATACAGCAACATTCAATCACTGCCTAATTCTGTATGTCATACTTAAATATATTTAAACCCAGTCTTTTTTCTCTCCATATAACTATGTGGAAGCAAAGACTGACACAATTAGGGGAGTTCTCAGTCTTTGCTACTGGCTAAGCTGTGCACGCTGTGCACCCTGTTTAAACCAGGGCTCCACTGTCCCTATTCATGTTTCTGCTCCTCGTTAGGATCTGCAGAAAGGCACATTAGATCCTAACATTCTTTCTGGGTTTTTCTTTTTAAGAAATTTTTTTCAGTCATAAATCCAGTGTGGAACATTCTTAAGTGACCCATGCTTTTTCTGTGTGATTGTGTAAATTTCTGATCTTTTAAAATGCCAACAGTGCAGGGAGTTTATCGCTAACAATGCTGCAGTCACTAAATGGGAATTATCTGTCATCTGAATTACATCATCCACAGCCGTGGCCATTATGAAAGCCTCATTTTGAGGAGCAATTTAACACCACACACTGTAAGGCTGCATTATACTGTACACAATCCCGCCAGTGTACAACAACCAGAGTGCCACCTAGTGTGACCTGCACTACCATCACTGGGGCTAGAAACAAATGCTGACGTGATACGAATTGCTCTAAGAGGCTGAAAGCACTGCTTGCTAAAATACTCATATCAGCAGAGAAATTCAGATCCTGAAGAAAAACAAGTATTTAAAGCTTTTTAATATATTTTAATACACATCAAAAGAAGTCTGTGTTATAAAACAAGACCCGTTTGTCCAAAAGCTAGAAGGAATACATCAACTATTGTCTTTAATGATGTTCAAAACTGAAGCTATTTTTCTCTCACTCCACAAACAGGCAATTAGTAAACATCTTGAGGTTCAGTTTACATTATAAAATAAGATACATCATCAAAACCTTCAAATATACATTAAAGAAGAGACATAATCTATGGAGTCCTGTCTAACTGGAAGCGTTCATCGTAACTGTATGCAAGAATATAACCAAAAACATACTGTCAAGCAAAACTAGGCTTACCTGAAAGTGCAAAATTATGGTCCATATCAACCCCAAAGTCAATTTGGGATTCCCATCTGTTATATCATCATTTCTGATGTTAACCAGTTTCACCTGCCATCGTAGAAAGAAAATACAAACAAAATTTAAATAAATATGCCACAAACACATACTGTGTTACACAGGTATGATTGTAAAGGATGTAGTACTCATTTCCTGAGCCTAGTCTGTTGGGGTTTTTTTAATTCTCAAAAGCAGAAAGGAATTGCATTCTGGCTCTAAGCAGCCTGCTAGGAATTGCCCTCTCCCACTCACATCAAGCTGAGAAGATCCTCAGCTGTCACTAGGCCAGCAGATCTGCTCCCCATGCCAAATACCCTTTTCCTCCGTTCTTGTCAAAAGGAGAAGGTATGACAAAGCAGGGAAAGATAACAAGAATATAATGATCTGTAGCTGGAGTATTAGTCCCAGGGCAGTGCTAAGCCCTGGGAAGTTACTACTGTCTTCCTTCCACCCCACACTTTCCTGTGCCAGGGTAAGAATTCAGCAGCAGGAGAACTGGCTTACTAAAACACAATGCTCTGGCTTAATAAAACTAAGAATTTAGTATCACATTTAAATAACCAATGGCTTAATGACAACAATTATTATCACTTCTGATGCTGTACTCAATCACAGTGCTATAAACAAGAAATGGTTAACAGGATGAAAACAAAAGCTGCTATTATTGCCACTCCCAAACCTCGCACTTAAGAGTGAGTTCAATAATTCCATTTTCTTTGTCATATTTTAATAATTCATTTAATTTCTCTATTTGTATTATGTATCCATATAGCCTAGCAGTTAAAGATGACTCAGCTAAAAGGCATTTTATGCCGACATTAGTAAAGTTACATTCACATGCTTTTGAACATATACCCTGTTATCAATTGAATGAGCAAAGGCATGTCCTCCTCTTGATTTGCTACAAAATCTTAACTATTTGGAAGGAAAAAAAGTGCCAAACCACTCTATCTGCAAGAAAGACAGTGTATTCCACAGTCTGTTCTGGTCTAATTCTCAAGTCAGGTTTCAAAATTATCAATATGTACGATTTCTCTGCCCTGCAATCACAATAAAGCATTGGGTTTGGAGGTTATACAGCCAACCTGAGCAAGTTATCTCCTAAATATGGTTTAGAAACACCTACCAGAGGGCTGAAACTTTAATCAACTGCAAGTCCTACTGACAATTTACCAAGAAGACCAAAGCCCTACAAGCATTTTGTACTCTAGAATACAGTCATCTTCACAAAACCATAAGGCTAAAGAAAACACAAAAATCCTCAGATCACAATCAACAGCTGTGTGATGGAGTCTTGTGGTTCCCATCAACACACACGTTCATAAACATGGGGGTGATCTGATCCTATATCTCCTGCACTTTAATATACACGGTCTGCCATGCATAAAAAATAAGGTATGGTGCAGCACAAGTGCTGAGGTCTTGCTGCATAAAAATATCGGTGTGACCATCATTTCAAGTAGCCACTCATTTACTTTGTAGTGTTATTTGTTCAGTGGCTCACTTAGGTTAACAGGAAAAGTTTGCTTTGAACTCAGCAAAGGGAGATTGAGTTCTTAGTACACACATACTCAGTGACCCAAAAGACAAGTCTGCAATTTCACTCAAAATACAAAAGGACATTTAGTTTTATAACCAAACTAAGTATCTATATATGGTTTGCTAACCACAGATAAATTCAAACCTTTGAAGTAGCAAATAATTATTTTTTTATATCAACCAATCAAAAAGCAGATTCTCAGTGTTACTTCATTGGAATGGGATGGGATGGAGAGGGAGGAACAGTTTTTCCTTCCATATTTTGGATATTTTTTTAAATTCCTGTTTTGTGAAGGGAGAAAGCAAGAATGCTGTAAGCATTTAAAAGAATCTAAAAGCAGTAGCAGAAAACCACTTAGCAGTGCAGATTTCAAGTGTCTGGCTTAAAGGAGATACAGGTGAAATTAAGACTGAATCTTCCACAGTCCAGGTAACTCTGCTGCCTTTCTACAGGACTAGTTTTGCTTTCATCGGGATCAAGGTTTGAGATTTTCCCAAAACAAATAAAATCAAAATAAGGAATTCCCATACAACATTCTAATTTCCTTGAATCTGCATTTTGCACTATAAATTAGACTTTGAACAAAACTGCAAACCAGCTAGTGTCTGGGCAGCATGAAAGACAGTTAAATTTACTATAAGCAACTCCTTAGGATCTCACACATAATTTTTTCCTCTTTAATACCACATATCACACAGAGTGTGTTGTTATTGCTCAGAGATGGGTGGTGCAAAGTTACCTTTGCCATATCTTGCTTATCCATCTATGACATAAAGCCAAGCCTACACAGGCAGCTCTTACACAACATGCATAAAAGACGAAGTAGGACATATTTTTTATTTATTAGCTATAGGTGACAAAATTTTTATGATTTTTTTTTTTCTTAAATTTTCATCATACCTGGCGTTTTTTCAAATAGTCCAGTGCAATTTGGACGTTCTGGAGTCTGTGAAAACGCATCCGACCTTTTTCTCGGGGCTAAAATTGGAAAACAATAGTTGTGAGATTTTCTCATCAAACAAAAGAACAGTCTGATTTAAAAGATACCGTGTAGAACATTTGAAGCACTACAGTTTTAATGAAATCAATACCTTTGGTGGGAAAGTGTGCTTTGAATATTTTTTTTTAACTATAGTTGAAGTTTTTTAGCAGAGTAGATAGCAAGAGAGATCAGTGGTTCCCAACTGCAACTTTGATCCATGCAGGCTGATAACCATTCCCTGTAAAGTACTATTAAGGCCAAGAGGGCTACTACCTACAGAAACTAAAGTGCAATTTATTATTATAAAATATTCACAGTGTACTAAGCAAAGCAAAATGTAAGTAATGTCATGGACCTTTATATTGCTCTGATAAACTCTGTGATGGAAAAGCTTACCTCTGTATGCAACTTCATGACTTAATGGTATGACTGCATAATCACTATGATATCTATACATATTTATTTAAAGCATCTAATAAAGACAGTATCTTCCTCCAAACAGAATAATACAATATATACAGTCTTAGAGTGTAAGTTTAAACTCTTGACTTGAGTAGAATATTTTAAAGTGTGAAAAGAACTAACAAATCACTCTTCCCAAAGCAAAGTCAAAACCATGAAGAAAAAAACTGTAAAATAAGCACAAGCGGTGTGTTAATGGAAAAAATGGCAAAACTGCATGCAGTTAGTGTAAAATTACCAAGAAGAAGAACCACACAGAAAACGCATACTTAGCTGTCACAGATCAGCATGGGAAAGCAGTTAAACTAATATCAACATCATATCCAAATCCTTCTATTCTTCCTTATTTCAGATTTTTCACAAACGTTCACAGCAATAAACTGAAGCAGACTATAATTGCTAGAGAACAGCCATGAATATGAGTATTTCCTCAGATAATCACCGCAAAACACACAGATAAGCCCAATCCTTCCTCAACTGCCTTTTTTCCCCCCTGTGGAGTATGAGATGCTTGCCAAAAAGAAACAGGGGAAAATGGAGCTGAATAAGGAGCAAAAACTGAAACACAGAATTTTAATTTCCATTATATAATCTTCTATTTAGCCCCTTGTTTTTCACACCAATAGCTCAGGATCAAGCATTGCAGTCTTTGTTATCAAGTAGCTTCTACAGAGGGAACAAAGGACTGTAGACCTGGAACTTGGTTTTCCACAACAAAGAAGGTATAATAAATCCCCATCTATATAGTTAGGTATAGCATCTCAGAGGGGAAATATGTCCTTTTAAAAAAAGTGCAGCCTTTTGAGTTATGTTACACTCCAGAAAAAAGCACACAAATTCCACTGAAACCACAACTGCAACACAACGCACGGGAGCCAGGGAGGCACTCAGGCCCTACGACAGCAAGTTGCTTTAGCAAATGCCAATGATGCAAGGTCTAAAAAGGCATGAAACAGCTCACTTGGACTAACAAGCACGTGGTGTTTTACACTTTTTAAGTAGATATTTCCCTTCTGGATGGACAAAATACGGTGAAACAATAATTCAGTATTTATTTCAAGAAAGATAAACTCTGCAAACTCTCCGTATTCTTAGTAGCCACTACCCAAAGCTGTCACTTAACTTCTAATCTATCTGCTTTGATAAAAATAACTATTACATGTGGTAAATTTTAACAAATAGATCTGTACATCTGAATTTTCTTAATTCAAGATATTATCCAGCATTATGTCATGTATACCACAGGCACAGTAGACTGGTGCTTCTAATTAAGACAAATTGATATTTTGCTATTGACTTCACTAAGAAGAGCCTTCAAGTCTTTGTCTAAATTACTTGTATATGGACAATACTATTTGCAAGTTTAAAAAAAAGTCTTAGTTTAACAGAATTATGGTAATTCCCTATCTATTATTAAAAAAGCTTATAACATCTCGATAGCATTGTCCAGTACACATTTGCGCCATGGTTTTTTACAGTTTAATCAAAGAAAACACATAAAAAAATCTTGAACATTTTCATTTCAGCTGTTCACAAAAAGGCTAAATCAACATTTGTCTTTACCATACCTCCGTCATGAACACACATATCCTGGTTTACCAACACAGTTTCTTTTGTCCTTTCTACAGCCGACTACTGCAGCACATCAAACTACGAATTTGCATTAGCAGACACCACACTTCAAACACTGCATTAGTACAGTTATGGGGGTCGGCACCTACCCCCTTATCCTCATCCTCCACATCCTCATGCTGTTCATTTGCGCATGCTTCTGTTGAACTCACCAACCGTAAGGTCTTCAAAAAATCTCGCTCTCTTGGCTAATGAATATAACAGACGGGAGACAGGACAGCAAAAACACAAGACAGACCACAAATGAAAAGAAGAGCATGAAAAGAAGAACATAATGAAGAGAACAAATACAAAGCAAGGGAAGTAATGCTCACAAAGAAAGGAAATGACACCTGAGGAGTGTGTTAGACAATTTCAGGGACATTTTATCCTTGTTATTTGTCAGTTACTCCCTTTAATGCAAAAAGATATTAAGCATCCAAATTTGTTAAAACAAAAATTGGAAAGAAAAAGAAAGAACAGAAAAAATAGTGCATTATCCTACTAAGAAAGGAAGTCTCTCTGACCACAAGAAATGAAGAAACTGATTGCATTCCCCCACAGAATTCACAGTAGTATATTTTACCAAGAGAAATATAACTTGTGTCTTTGGTATCTGGTCACAGATTACAGAAAATATCACAGAAACCTCCAGCAGTCAATACACAAGGAGTAAACAAACAGAGAAAATGCATAAACAAAAGTATGGAGTCATTGCATGCTGATCTAAAAGCTTACCAAGGTGTCTCCAGAAAGGACTTCTAAAAGTGAGATCAAGTTATGTCCATCTCTTAGGTCTTCATATAGGTCATTCACATGCTTTCGAACCTGCATAGAAAAATGCAAAAATTAAATACAAGATCCCCATCTATACCTGAGAGTTCACACTCATATTAGCATACATCTTTTAATATACAGATAAACCTCAGATATACCTCACATTGCTTTCTAAATTTATTCGCATTCATGACAAATTTACAAATCTAAATCAATTTTAATAGGCAAAATTTACTGCTACATCTGAACTCACACAGTTCTATTACACCTTATATGATTTTAATGAAAAGAAAAATAATATGAAGTTACAGGTAATGAATGTGCATAGCAGTGAAAAAATCAGTATCTGACAATTCAAATTATCAGATACCCACCTCCTAAATAATGACAACTAAGACAAAAATAGCTAGATCCAATGAATTGTAAAAAATACACACAACATATATCTTATCATCAGCATGCACGTTCACTGCAGTCAGGACAAAAGTAACATACTTTCTGGCCTTAAGCTTATTACTAATCAAAGCATACCGTCCACCAATTAATAACATGTATTGTCACCTCAGGTTTCCCAGTACTTAGTTTTCCCGACTCACACATCTGCCTTATCCACCATACCAAAGAAATATGACATTAGGTTGATCTAGTGAAGCCAAAGGCATGCACAGCCCTTCCCACCTGCCATGCCAGTGGCAGAGGTTAATGCTTCCTACACTCAGCACCACCCTACCATGAGCAGACACCAATCCAAATGATCTCCTCCTGTGGTGTCCCCTAATAAACGGTTGAGCAGGGCTGATAACCAGCAGACTCTGCAAGGCCAACCACAAGTGAGGGAGTAGGTACAATGACAAGAGACAGTCAGAAGCCCTAACTTTTCTGACAGGCACAACAAAGCTGGGTGATGTCTGTTCACAGGCCAACTTCTTGTTTCTTAGCATTAGCTTAAATGAAATATTTTTAACAATTTCATCCAGCGGTTCTTTGAACGTGACAAAAAGGACCTAATTTTTCAGAAGAGATTTTTGACATTGCCAGATAGGGCAGAGGTTGAGGGCTTCCCAGCTATAATTTAATGTGAGTTTCCAGGTGCTCCCATTGAACCACCAGACTCGAAGCTTCCTAAGCTTTGAGAGAATAAAATGCAACATCAGAAATTTTCTTCTTTATCACCTATACCACAGATGAGCTGTACTTCCAATACGAGATCTATGGGACATTGACTGCCAACATTTCTATATGTATGATGAGGGCAACAAGAATCAAGCCAGATCTTTGACTTTATATGAGAACTCTGTTTACCTGACTTTCAGGGGAATTTCTGTTGAACAAATAACTGTCTCCATACCTAAGCTTAGTTTCATAAATGCTTTTGTGTTCTCAAGTTTTCTTACTCCTATTTTTAAACATGAAATTACCCTAAAATCTGTTTCATAAAGACCATGATCTTAATTTAGAGTAGTATCACAGCATATTTATGCTTGTGCTGAAGACTAGCCAGAACAAGTCATTTCGAAGACTGTTCCATAAGGAATTACAACTGATGTTTTCCAAAACACTTATACAGACTCTGCATAGACAGTCAAGTTACAACACAATATTCTTATATATATATACCTAGCTTTACAAACTCATGTACATACAGCATCATTTTAATTTTAGTTATGAATTTTTTTAAAAATTCTGCAAACAATTAGTGTAAAAAAATTTCCAAGAGAAAATTTCTCTGGTAATACTGAAGTACTGTTAAGCTGAACGAAGAAACAAAATAGGTGTTCTGCTATTACATCTCTGGTGAAAGGCAAGAAAAGAGAAGCCATGTAAATCACCGAAGTCCCTGATACAAAACAAGTTGATCATGATAAATGCTTAAAAGATGAAAAGCACAAGGGTCTTTAATTTTTAACCCCAAACAATTGTGACTTTTTAATTTTACTTTCAAAGAACTATGCCAAACTGAGTGCTAGGCTCTTCCTGACAAAAGTAGGCAAGTTTTTTTTAAGATAAACCCTGTGAGAGAGTTGCCTGCTGAGTCCCTCAGGACGTATCACTCTCCACTTCCCTTTGGAGAGCAGAATCCCAAGCTAGAGCAGATTCACAGTACAGGCTGGTGGCCAGAGGGATGGAAGGACATCAGGTTAAGGACAGAGGAATGGGGTGTACATCTGAAAGACACTGAAAGAACTGTCTGTGCAACACCAAGTCAATCCTACACTCTTTTCAACATACAACTCAGGGGAACTGCCCAATATGCAGGTATCTGAATTGTGGGATGAGAAAATATTACCATTTCTGGTCTGTCTGCTTTTATTTTCCATTAGATGCAAGATGTCTTGCTATCCTGCTAGTTTTGTCTCTCACAGCACACATCTGTTGACCTTCTGTTTGTTTCTTATGCTCTGAGGTTTCCTAAGTACTACAGAGACAACCATCTTCCCCAGCTTATCTTTCTAGAAATCACAGACGCTTCAGAGATGAACTCACACTGGCTATGAAGAAACTGGCATAGAGCTGTCAACACAGGAAAACCAGCAGTACACCTTATATGTCTGTCTTAGTTCTGCCACTGGCTGACACTTACTGTGAAGATTAATTATTTAGGACATACTACGTCAGTCATCCTAGTACAGCACAACATAACAAGGAATTTCTTCCATGACTCTGAGCAGCAGATGTGCACCTAAAACTATGTATTTGGGCAACTGATGTGACCAAACATGTTCACTCAAAGCAGCAGATTACTTCTAAAAGAAGCATCTTGAGCTTCTCAAGAGATCCTACACTGCCACTTAAGGAAAAGCTTGCAAAATCACCCCTCTCTATCACTTAGGCAACTCTTGTCTCTCAACACATATAATGAATTCTTAGATCTTGAAACTAACAAGAAATATAACTAGTTCATTGCTCCTTAACTGCCATATTTAGCCTTCTTCAGAACAGATAGTAGCACAAGTACTGGATGCAGATGGGGTTCCCTGGATAGATGTGTGGGGATCTGCTGACACTGTGATATTTCATAACAGTTCTTGTGGTTTTTCAATAAAATCGCAGAATTGTCAGCCCTACATTTTGCAAGGTCCACATGCAAAGTAGGTTACAGGTTGCCTCAAGCAACTTTTTGCAATATGCCTATGTGAGTGTGGCAGATTTGATAATTTGGGCATGAGAAGAAATTTTTTAAGGAAGATGTGGGAGACACTGAGTGGTTGAGGGGCATCTGACAAAACTTAAAAGAGAAGTAAAATGGTTTCATCATTGAAAAGGAACAGAACGAATGTAAGGCACTGTTTCAGAAGTGATTCATCTTCTGATCTTCATCTTCTGGCATGTATACTATATTCATGGTAAGGAAAGCTCCATTCTCCTTGATATGAGCATAACATATTTTCATATTATCCTTTTCCAGTAAGCTTAAACTTTGCAGTCCAGTGCCCTGGGGAATCTCTGTGCTGCCAGTAAAAACCAGCTTTTAAAATTGTAGCAGTCACAGAGCCACAATCTTGCCTCCAGACTCCAGTATGTGAGGCACTTGACAAATGAAGACTGTGACGATGGCTACCACCTCCAAAAGCTAGCAATCTGACACCCCACATAACTCACACAGCTTTATCTTACTGTTCAGCTGGCACACCCGGCTGTTTTTACAATCAAGTTGCTATCAGTTCCACCCTTATGTACCATTCTGCTTCTGCCGTAAAGTACCTGGCCTGCCAGGCTTAGCTTCCTCCTCAGGGGGCTGGCATTGCAGCACGTGTCATCACTGCCTTCAGTCTGCCTGGTTCTTGCTCCCACCGACAGAGAAGGAAGACGTGATTCAGCTTCCTGGTCACACATCTGTAGGGCTGGTTTATGTTTAGGGGCCATGCCACTTGGCCTCCACCTGCTTCTCCAGAAGGACTGAGGTTTGCGTAAGTGTGGCCACACTCTCACAGATATCTGTCCTGAATACCCTTACACATCTCAAACAGCCCCAGATGCCCATGCTTAGTGAACCAAACTTGCACCTAGTGATCTCTGGTTTTGCTATGAGTCACAGCAAAAAAGAAGCCATCTTCCACAGCAAGCCTGTTTCTTACAATTTTTCTTGATATTATTAGTTGTGTTTGTTGATACTAGAACAAAATCTACAGTTTTACACTATAGAGGCCACTCATGGTTATATGGTAGAAGAGAAGGACTGCCCCTTCTGCTTCTGCAAGCAAAACCAGCTTGGTCTTGACAAGGACACATGGTAGATGCACATGTCACTTTATCTAACACTGCCATACCTATTTTTTATTAGGGACTGTTGCAATAGGACAAAGTGCAATGGTTTTAAATGAGCGTAGATTTAAACTAGATATAAGGAAGACTTTTTTTACAGTGAGGATGTTGAAACATTGCAAGAGGTTTTCCAGAGAGATAGTGGACACCCCATCCCTGGAAACATTCAAGATAAGACTGGATAGGGCTCTGAGCAACCTGATCTAGTTGAAGACATCCCTGCTCATTTCAGGGGGGATTGGATCAGATGACCTTTACAGGTCCCTTCCAACCCAAACTATTCTATGATGATTCTAGGAAAACACAGAAAACACAGCTTTTTTCTTATTCAGAAGTAAATATGGCAGGAAAATAAAACACACGATTTTGTACAGTGGGTGCACACCCAGCATACGTGTAGATATCTCATAGACTTTTGTGTTAGGGTGTGGCATGTTCCAGACAGGCAACTAAAATGCAAGGACCACTGATTCTGAACGGAAATAGTGTAGGAAGAAGCAGAAACAAACATGAATGTGCTGCAGAATCTAAAGTCGAGGTAAAAGGGGCAGGAGACAGCATATAATCAGATGGGGCAGGAACAACTATAAGTAACACCCATGGACTGGAAGCCACCAGGAACTCCCTGACGGAGGTGAGACAACCACTGTGGCCCTGGCAAGCTGCACAACTTGGAAACAAGGCAGAGTGCTCACACACTTGCAAAATTATTCATTTTTTACAGGTTAGGAAAGCAGACTACAGTAATCAAATATTTTTCTTAAAAACTCCAGGAGTCTCCCTATCTA